TCAAGAGAGCCTTTCATCTTTTTTCTTTTCTTGCTTCATTGTGCAATGAATCGCCCGCTCACCTTTTCTGTCAGACTCCTTCCAGATATCACGTCTCTTTGTTCCTAAACTCAGCGACGGCTTCAGCGGACGTGACAGACGCTGCCACCAACTGTCGCCATGGCACCGGCCAACGAGGAATTTGGACCGCCCCGTCGGAACGGCCATCGTGGAGTTACATTATGCCAGAGTAAATATTACTCAGCCCAGCTCCTGCCAGGACTGGTTCAACACCAGTAACATGCAGAGGCAGCACTAATGATTACATTGGGTTATCAGAAAAGATAGAGTAAGGAAATTCACATCTTCTATATAGTTGTGTAAAAGCTCAAATGTTTTGTTTTTCTTGTATTTAGTTTTTAATTTGACCCAAATGAAGGAAAAAGGCAGAAAATATTCAGGGTTTCTCCCAGTGTATTATAAGCCTGGCGGGTCACCAGGCTTAACACTGTTTCTTTAATAGAGGGGATTTTATTTTTAAATACACCAGTAACAGTGTTATAAGTCAAAGAGTCTCTTTAGTGAAACGGCTGGAAGCACAATGGCAACATAGTATAATAAGTATGTAAACACACATAATAAGTCTGAGATTTATATTTTAAATTCACCAAAACTTGGTAACCGCCGCCCGTCTTCACCGATCTACACGTTAACAACTTCAGCGAATAATCTGACAAGTCATGGATAAAGGATCCATAAAAGTTGGACACTTTAATCAGTATGAAACAACTGAGGCACAAAACATTATATTTCTTTTAATTGTATGTTTGGCTTTTGTAAAACGTACCATATGTGTCTTCCAATAACGTAATTATGCAGCCATATTTTAAAATTTCCTGTCAACTTTAAACATTTTTTAACTCAAAAACATGACAGTCCCAGAGTATTCTCTCCATCAGTAGTTAGCTAGCTCTGCTAATCCAGCTCATTTGCCTTTGCTGCTCCTGTCTAAATCTCTGGAAGTGTAGAGTCTCTTGCTGCTGCTTGGTCCTGCTCTGCAGCCGTAACGCCTCTGGGACTCAACAGTTCAGGTGCTGTTTGAGGTTTAGAGAAGCCACTCGGCTGCTCGCAGTTGTAAAAGCAACACCTTGTTGCCACGGTTACACATTACAGCAACTATCCATCTAGAAAAGTAAAGCAGAACTAATGCAGCAGAGATATTCAACTTTTACTAGATTCCTTCAGATGACGGACACTTTAAAGGTTATTTCAGGTGTCCGAAAACGTGGACTGGATCAGTAACTGGATCTTAAAACAGGAGACTGACACTAATGGGCATGTTAGCGGTTCTGCTGCAGTTCATCTGTCAACCCAAATGACTGGTTTGATGAGTTGATAGCTGCTTTTATAGCTGCAGTCCAAACAGAAATGCTAGATCAATTACAGCGTCTACAGTAATAACGTCTATCTCTCTGGTATTTCACGGCGTACTCCACCTACTAGGACCTGGTGTGGAGGGTTACAGTATGAACGAATGAATCCTGACGTTATCACAGCGGTTCATCATGTTCTCTCCCAGATCACTCTTTTGGAAATATAACTGTGTTCAAAGCTGCCAAGGCTGCAGCATTAAGCAGAGAAGCAAACAGCTACATTACCTCCAACATTTATTGGGAGCTGATGAAGGCTTCCATTAAGTTAATGGATTATTTACAACAGCAACAAAATGCTCATATGAGTTTAGCAGTATTGAAGAGGATCATAAATCCTTTCAAAAGAAGCTTGTAGTTTGATGAAGGGAACCCTCTAAACCCTTGCAGTACGTTTTTAAAAGCCCCTCCATTGATCCCCTTTATTCATGCGATGGATGTTTTTCTGGGCATGTTAGCATTTTGTCTGCAGTGATTCACTTTGCTCATCAGTAAACACTGACATCATCGTTTGCTTGATACTGTAGTTTAAATTGCAGAACATATTAAAAGGATTATTTGGATTTTTTAAATGTGGGCTTCTCGGGGGTAGTTATTAGTAGTCAGCGTCTTTTCTGCGCTTGTGAGAAAGTTATATTGCAGAATAGATTACAGTTTAATAGAACAACTTAAATAAATATATTTCATCCTGTAACGAGTCAACAAAATGAAGAAAAAGAATGGAGGTTATAGGTCAACATTGGGGTGTCTTTTTCTTTGTTACGCTACTTGTGTTACTTTAGCTAGGCCACTTTCTATTGAGCCACTCAGAAATGGAATAGCTGCTTTGCTCTGGATCATTGTCCTGCTAGTAGGCATGGGAATTTACCGTATAACTTCAGGGTTTCCCTCAGTGTATTATAAGCCTGGCGGGCCACCAGACTGTACTTTTGCCCCACCAGGCTTAGCATTGCTTATTTATTTCAAGTTTTGTTTTTAATGTTTGCATTTTTTAAGACTTTATGGTTGGTGTTCAGATATTAATCTTCCAATAAGACATAATTATCAAGTGTTATTTTTCAAATTTCCTGTCAACTTTAAACATTTTTAACCCCAAAACACGACGGGCTGCTGGATAGATGAGCTTAGCGCCCAAACACTGGGCTTAGCAAGTTTTCTAGGGGAAATCTTGAATTTATAATTTTTCAGAATAGGTACCTGCCAAAGCAATGCATAGGCAGGCACCTATTGTTCTACACCTCAAAATAACTGCCTCTTCCCACTACCGTTAATGCGGCTCGTACCGCTGCATGCCCCCTTCACAATATATATATATATATATATATATGTATCAAAACACGCGGCTCGATCCCGTGAAGGGAGCTATTGCTTTTGTTGGCATTTCGAGTAATTGTGGCGACATAATTAACACAAAACGAGCCAAATTCAACTCAAAACAAAAGTCTGACACAAAACAGGGTCAGTTAGACTCAAAATAGACGTAGACTTTTGTCTGCCCCTCTGAGCTGCTCTTTAGAACTACAGACATGGTGGAACACTCTGCTAATGCTTTTCCTTTTGTGTTTTATTTACCGTTGTCATAGCAACTGAACTAACAGGTGCTGGGAGGAAAAAGAGCGACGGCGGTTCTAGTTAGCTGAGGTATAAACCTACTGTACAGGAGCTGAATTGCAATATGTTTATATGTACAGATTGCTTAATACACCTTTGAAATAAAATGGTTGTGGAAGTTGTTGGAAAGTAATATTGACATGTTTAGATTGTTTTTTTTGTTACATGAGTCGAATCTGTTTAGCTATATTGTGTCTTTCTGTGAAAATGTTTGTGTACAGAAAACCCCCCAAATATATTGTATATTTTTTATGCAGTAGCAGATGGGGGTTATTCTGAGACTTAAGTGTGTGACATAAGCTGTACCTTTGTATTAAAGGATCTAAAACTGTTTATTACAGGAATAAGTATATTGTCTAGAATGACAAAGAAAATAACGTGGACACAATGATTATTTTGAAGAAAGATCAGGTATGGTGCTGTTTGGAAATGTTAACTATTTAACCAGAACAGATTCCAGGAGGATTAGTGAAGCACAGATTTGTTTCTGCCTCATCCCTCCTACCTGCTCTAGACTTTTTACAGGAAAATCAGCATCTATTACATCGACACCAGCCCTGATGTGTGTAACACATGCTGCAATCTTTAATATGTTTTCTGGAGATCTTGGCATCAGGGCCGCTGCTATAAACTCATTGCATCTCTGAATAGTGCTGTTTATGTTATATTATCTAGTGGCGGAAAAAAGCAACAAAAAAACTATTATGCTATGTACTTAAGATGGAATATATGCACATATATTCATGACATGCTTTGATTAAAGTAATTTATCCTCGGTGTAATTCCAGTACCGAAAAATTAACTTTACACCAGGTGAGTCTCTCACCTGAGAATGTGAACCTACTGGGCTGATTCTGTGCCTTCAAATAATTTTAATGCTCCTGTAGAAGATTCATAACTTAAAAGTTACAAAACAGTCTGTGTGTTACACTCAAGACATCAGTGATGACATCAAAGAGTGATGTCATCACTTTGATGTCAGTGATGACATCAAAGAGTGATGTCATCACTTTGATGTCATCACTGATGATGTCATTGTTACCATAGGAACTAAACATTCTAATGGTGCATTCACATCAAACACGTTTTGAGCATCAGGCGAGTCTGCTTTATATTCAAAGTCTATGTGACGTATTTGATGCGCTGGACGCGTCAAACACTTCAAACGGTTCAAATGGCGCCACGCTAGACGCTCAAAGAGCGCCGCAACAGCCCTTGACGCGCCTCCACATAGAGTTTGAATATAAACCAGAAGCGCCTGACGGTCAAAATGTGTTTGGTGTGAACGTACCATTATAGGTCCAGTGTCATATTAGATCCACCATATTAGAACCAAAGACTTGTCCTAATATGGTGGATTCATTGCTTTGGGTCAGAGGTAATGTTTAGAGGTAAGATGTGAATTAAGGTTTAGTTAATGTTAGGAATAGACTAGTATTGGTTTGGGTTAGGGAAAATGTCTGCGTTAGGCAAAATCACAGCTACTAAAATGAAGGAAAATCAATGCAAAATTCTATGGATCAAAATAGTTTCGACAAGCCTGTATAGAATTTTGTTTTCTAAATCATTCTATAAATGATGATATAATGTTAGGATGTTTTTCTGCCAATTGCATAGCTGCAGTACACTAGTAGTCTAATGTGTTGAATGTACTGAGACACATTCAACACATTAGAAACCAATCAGAACCAAAAGTTTGTCTTTTGGTTCTGATTGGTTGTTTCTGGACAGTAGCAGATCCAAATGAATTTTCACAAATTCTCTGTTTCGTATTCTATTGTCAACTGTTTAACAAATATTCATCCATCATCTAACATACCTATGTATGTTAGATGATGGATGAATAAGGAACTTGTTAAACAGTTAAAATGATGATGATGATGAATATTTGTTAAACAGTTTGAGGCTTTGCCAAATTTGTGCAAAGCCTCTAATTTTCATAATGCAAAGTGTTAGCAAAACCTGGGCTTGTATAGTGACGTAGGTTAGTGCCACCTGGGTGTGGGTCGGTGTAAAGGCCGAGCCGGGCTTAGCTTGGCCTTCGTGCCAACGCCAACATGAAGACCCTCCATGCAACCAGTGGAGGTTGATCGCATGGATGTCTGTCTGTCCTCGGACCTCCATGTTTGTGTGGAAGTTTGTGTGGGTCGGCGCAAAGGATGAGCCAGGCTATGCGTGGAGACCCCTCATTGATTGAAGGTCTGTCTTTCTTCAGACCTCCCTGGTTGATTGGAGGTCTGTCGTTCCTCGGACCTCCCTGGTTGATTGGAGGTCCGTCTTTCCTCGGATCTCCCTGGTTGATCGGAGGTCCGTCTTTCCTCGGACCTCCCTGGTTGATTGGAGGCCCATATTTCCTCGGACCTCTCTGGTTGATTCAAGGTCTGTCTTTCTTCAAACCTCCCTGGTTGATTGGAGGTCCGTCTTTCTTCGGACCTCCCTGGTTGATTGGAGGTCTGTCTTTCCTTGGTCTCCTCTATTTGGAGGGAGCCTTCTGTTTGCAAGCTAGATGTGGGTCGGCGCAAAGGCCGAGCCAGGCTATGCATGGAGACCCCTTGTTGATTCAAGGTCTGTCTTTCTTTAGACCTCCCTGGTTGATTGGAGGTCTGTCTTTCTTCAGACCTCCCTGGTTGATTCAAGGTCTGTCTATCCTTGGTCTCCTCTGTTTGTAGGGAGCCTTCTCTTTGCAGGGGGACCTCTGGTCGGGTGGAGACTCTAGGATGGCTGTTTTCTAGAGCAAGTTTCAACTCCACCTTCAGGTCTGCAACCTGACCCTGCAGAGCTTTCACTGTTTCCTCCTGAGCCTTAAATTTGGAAGCTTGCTCAGAGTGTCTTTTGAGCTGCTCCTCATATTTGAGTCTCACTCGGTATTCTTCAACCATTACTTCAATCAGACCTTTATTGCGGGAGGCGTATTTTGCAGCCTCCCACTTGAAGTACTCCAGCTGTTGAAGAACGTTCTTGTCAGTTGTAACTTTGGAAGAGCAAGAAACCTGTTCACGTTTGACTTGCAGGTGACGTTCTTTTTCCAACAGTTTTTGCAGTCTTTGAATCTCCTCCTGCTGGGATTTGACTTCAGCCTGACATGCAATCCTTCTGTCTCTTTCCTTGTGGAGTTCAGAATTCTTTCTCTGCAGTTCTGCTTTAAGATCGTCTACCTGCTTTGTCAAATCGTTGATGTGTTGGCTAGTCTCTGCCACGTCTTCCACTGAGGGGGTGATCTTGAAGCCAGCAGAGGGTGTTGTTTCCTGCTTGACTTCCAAAGATGTTGAACTCTCAAAGTCGCCGGAAGGACTTGATTCCCCCTGGATCTCTGATTCAACTTCCGGCTCAATGGGGCTGTCATCTTCAACAGGGAAAATGACAGCGTCGTAGTCGACTTGGATGTTGTGGTCTACCATGTCGACCCATGAAAGCTTAGCTGGAAAAGCTTCATGTTCGCAAACAATCTGTTGTTGCTTCATATCTGTATTCTAGTAACTTCTTGCTTCTCTGAACTTCGAACGTGCTCTGAAGGGTGATCTGTCGCGATAGAACTGTGGAACAGATCAGAGAAAATCCTGTCTGTGAGCTACATTCAAGAGAGAGATTCCCTTGTGATATCATAGAGTGATGACATCACTGCTGATGTCATTGATACCATTGGAACTGAACATTCTATCCACCTTCATGAGAGGCTTTCTGGGGAAACAATTATAGGTCTTAGGTTGCATTTACACTGCAGCCTGAAGTGACCCAATTCTGATTTTTTTGACGTAATGCGACCTGTATCCGATCTTTTCATGGCAGTGTGAACAGCACAGGTCGGATTCTTTTTCGAATGTGACCCATATCTGATACGTATCCGATTCTAATACGACCTAACATCCAGGTCGCCTTCATCCAAACTAAACGTCACTGATTCTCAACAAATCTCACTATTCTGCGTCCTGATACCCGCAAGTGGGAAGAAAAACAACAACCATGACGGATTATATGAGGATTAAGTTGTTAATATGCTGCTCTGGTTGGACAACAACTTCAAATATGTAAGCTAAGCTCCACCGTTAGCCTCCATGTTTACTTCCGCAAACACTGAGCAGAACACTGAGAATGCTGACACTATTGCGCCCTCTACTGCGCATGCGGGACACTTTCAGGTCGTTTGCGCATTCACACTGCTGAACGCATACAGGTCTCATTTACTGGCAGTGTGAACGGCCCCGGCAAAAAAATTGGAATTGCCAAAAAATCGGAATTGGGTCACTTCAGGCTGCAGTGTGAACGCAGCCTTACTTCTGGCGGCTAGTGGAAGTAGCAGTATTTCATTGTAATTTATAGGGTTTTTGGCTAATCTATATTCATGATAGAAATTACATCTCTTTTGTCGGTTAACACTGCAGCAAGGTAGTGTATTAACATTAGCACAAACATTAGCATTTCACTGCTCCCCATTAGCATTAGCCTTTTCCCTAAACATAGCTTTTATCTATTTTTCTTATTTATTAGTCACACTTAGTACACTGAATGGAGGAAGAAAATGTAAAACAACATGCTAGCGACAGAGTTTAGGCTAATGTTAGCAATTTGGCTCATTTTAACTTGTACACTAATTTTAACATACAGAATGGAGTAAGTCCATGTTACTCAACATGTTTGTGGCTCTCTGCATGCTACTGAGTACATTGCAGCTTACTTTAGCATTGATGCTAATTTGTAGCATCAGACAGGCACACTTTGGTAGGCCCCATTTAAATTTCTTCAGAAATGTTCTAGTTTTAATTTACTGTTGTCTTAAATTTTAATTATTGATGTTGAATAAAAGTATTATTGGAAATTAAATTTTTACTATTTTCTCCACTTGTTTCACAACAGCATCAATGAATATAAATAAACTTGAAAATCTTATTAATTATTTTAAAGATGTAAATCACAAAATTTTCTTTAGATCTGGAATTGTTAATCAGATTAATCATAATTTATTAATAATTGAAAGAATCGCCAAAAAACTGATTAATCATTAACTGGGCTATACAGACTCAATAAACGTCAACTGCTGAAAGAACAACACCCTAAGAAGGGCAATTAAGCAAAAACTGAACAAAATGTACATCTATTTTTTTTTTAAAAAAAAAAAAAAAAAAAAAAAAACTTCTTTGTGTGTAAATATGTTCAACCCAAAACTCCTGAAGTGGCAGTGAAGATTCACCTGGTTCAAATTTTGCAAATTAGCACCTTCTGTAGTCCATTTATTAATTGGTTAAATAAGCACATTGATTTTAGATGCGTCCTTTGCTAAAAATTACAAAGGAACAGGTTGTTGCATTTCAGGCAAGTAAATGTTTATTTTCTTAATTATAAAGGAATTTGCATCTTTCAATGTAAACCAAAAATATTCCGAATGAACCACCTTTTTTATTTGATTAATCGATTGATCATCAGAATAATTAATAACTAGTTCTAGTTTTTTTTTAATATAAGTATTAGTGGAAAACCTGCAGACTGGTTGATGGACAGCAGATTAAAGGATGGACAGTCAGATGCCTTCAGGTGTGTTTTAGCTGTCATCCACCATAAGTAGGACACAGCTTAATAGGCTAATTAATAGGCTGACAGAGTACTGTATGTGGCGATACGGTACATGCATACTGAAGGATTGCTCCAAACACGGCAGTAAGCACATTAAAGGAGGATCTGTCACTGAGCTCCTGGGCGAGAACAGCAGCTCTCTGGCCCTGCGCCGCTGACGGATGAGAGCTGCGAGTTTATATGCGTCCACCGGCTCGGCTCTGCATGGCTTTCAATTAGAACTGTCAGGACATGCACTCAATGAGATAAAGGTGAGCAAACACATCAGCATGCATGGAGGAAAGCATCCCTATAAACTATTACCTCTGACTCCAACTGTACGTCATGCATTCACATAATACTGCATTGCATAAATAAATGCTGAAAACATGTATATCTGTCTGTATGGGAGATTCTGCCCTTGTCAGAGGCAGAACTGTAGCTCACTGCGAGGATCCCAACTTAGATAAATGTCACTGCTGCAGCTCCAAAGACAACATATCCCCCAGCTTTAGAATTAGCATATTCATTATTTAACTGGGGAGCAGCTGGCTAATTGGCAAATGAAATGCTTTCAAATAATGTTCACATGAGAAGAGGAATTTGATTAAACTGAACCTGGGGAAAATACCAACAAAGGACGGGGGCGGAGGAACAGAGGAACGGAGTTTGGAAAAGGCTGGGAAAGTTTGGAATGACGAGGTTTGGAAAACCATACGTCTATTCGTCCTACCCTTTGTCCATCAATCCAGATGTTTATTCATCCATCCATCCGTTTATCCATTGATCTGTCCATCCAACCCCTAAAGGTCTATCCTACTCTCTCAATCCATTCATCCGATTTCTCCATCATCCATTCATCTATCCTAATTCTACACTATGTGCATCCATCCACATCCACCTGTTTGTTTGTTCATTCACTCATTTTTCTCTCCTTCCCTCCTTCTCTTCATCCATCCCATACTTTGTTGAGCTATACTACCATATGTCCGTCCCTCCACCCCTCTTTCTCTCCTTCCAGCAATCCATCTGACCTTCCATTCATCCATTTTCTATCTATCCATACGTCCTTCTGTCCGTTTATCCATCCATCTGATTATCTTCCATACACCCTGCCCTGTCTTGTTCATTCACCTTTCCATCTTTTCTCTCTTTCCATCCATCCAACACTTCCTACCACTCCTTCCTTTTTCTTTACCTCCCACAATCCTGTTCATCTATCTATCCATTCCTCCATATCCACCCATGTGGCTATTTGCTCATCCATGCATTGTTTTGTCCAACCAACCGACCATTTATCGTTTCATCCCATCCAATTGTTCATCCTCTGCCATCAATACCCAGTAAAACTGAGTATAAGGCCTAAAAATTGTATAAGGCCTAAAAATGTACATAAAACTTCTGGAAAGCGACTAACTTTCTTCCCCAGACATCTATAATCAAACGCTGAATCACGCTGGTTCTGGGTTATGAGCAGAGCGCCAGATCACGCCATCGCTTCCTTACTGCAGACGTACAGATTTTTCTGTGCCTTGGCGCAAATAAAGCAGATCAAAGTGAACTAAAAAAGAAAGCATCAAAACAAACCCATAATATCTCTGTTGTTAACCGTATGCTGTTGAAAATGAGAAGTATATCACTGCTGCGTTCTGGCACAAACAGTCTCATTTTTATGCACTGCCAAAGCCAACGAGGAGATGTCAGCTTTCTAAATCAGAGAGGAGAGATGGGTGTGAGGGGGGGCTGGATATATGCTCATAAAAATGCCCCCACAGTTCTCGTCTCTGCTCGTTTGAGTTAATGACACACACTCTCAGGCCATATATCAGCGTCTGTTTGATCCTGGTTGAGGATATTAAACTTTGATGGTTTCCCACACTCGCTAGTTCCCGGCGTTTCTTTGCAGTGGACGGCGTGGGGTTCATTCAATATGCGCGCCTGGCTGAGAGTCAACAGGAAATGACTCATAAATGGATCCAAAAGCCAATTCGGCAGTTTTTCGCTGGTTGTGATCCTCAACAAAGGGTGATGGGTGTCGGCAGGACATCGTCAAAAGGAGAGGATGTTGAAATGCCTGGATCAATGCATAGCTGGGTTTCATCAGCTCAGGCTGGTAGTTCATCACTAAACACCAGCTGGCAGCCGCCTAAGAGCTTCCCAGTAGAGCGCATGTACCCTAGCTGTGGTGCCGGGGATATAATCAGCGCTAGTCATGCTGAAATGACTGCATGGCTCTTTCTGAGTCACAACAAGAAGGAGAAGAACTAGTATGAAGCTGTGACAGGTGACAACCCGTCAAGAAAAAAGAGGAAAAAGCATATTGATTCAAGCTGTGCGACTCCAAAGGTAACTTTCACTGTTCCTGCAAAACTTTATGATATTCTGAAGCTAATAATTTTCCCCACTTGATGCAGGATAATCAACTGAACAATAATGCATGTCTAGAAAGTTTCCCAGTGGGGAAAAAAAAAATAAAAAAATACTTTTCACAAAAAATAAGTGTGAAATATGCGTTTCACACTTACAAGGTGTTGTGAGGTAGTATTAGGCCTACTTCCTAGTACTGCCAGATGCAATGATCAAAAACGTGTTAGTACTTCAAGAGTTACCTCTCCATGCACCTTGAGGTTCGGTAAGGTTGTGCCAGAAACCTTTGGTGGTTCCCAGGCCAGGAGGAATCTACAGTTTCTCAATGGGTTTTAGGTCCTACCTCCCTCCAGACAGAGCTCCTCTCCCCGTCTCTAAATCTGAATCCAGCTACTCAACTAAATTCAAAGGTTGCACCATATACACCATGGAAAATTAATTTTCAAAGACAATGTGCACAGAACAGAAAACAATGTTTGCTTTTTGACAGCATAGATAGCTAACAATACCACAAAACTGCACTGAAAGCTCCTTTTTTTTGGAACATTTTGTCAGCAAACCACTGGAATAATG